CAGACTGCTTCTACAAACATTGGTGAAAGAATGGGTCGCTCTCAGGAGCTCAGTGACTCCAAGCATGGTCCCGTGATAGGTGGCCACCTGGGCAATAAGTCCATCCGTGACATTTCCTGGCTACTAAATATTCCACGCTCAACTGTTAGTGGTATTATAACAAAGTGGAAGCCACTGGGAACAACAGCAACTCAGCCACCAAGTGGTAGGCCACGTCACATGACAGGGCGGGGTCAGCGCATGCTGAAGCGCACAGTGCGCAGAAGTCACCAACTGTCTGCAGAGTCAATAGCTAAAGACCTCCAAACTTGGTGTGGCCTTCAGATGAGCCCAACAGCAGTGCGTAGAGAGCTTCATGGAATGGGTTTCCATGGCCGAGCAGCTGCATCCAAGCCTTCCATCACCAAGTGCAATGCAAAGCGTCAGATGCCATGGTGTAAAGCACGCCGCCACTGGACTCTAGAGCCGTGGAGATGTGTTCTCTGGAGTGATCAATCACGCTTCTCTGCCTGGCAATCCAATGGACGTGTCTGGGTTTGGCAGTTGCCAGGAGAATGGTACTTGCCTAACTGCATTGTGCCAAGTGTAAAGTTTGGTGGAGGGGGGATTATGGTGTGGGGTTGTTCCTCAGGGATTGGGCTTGGCCCCCTAGTTCCAGTGAAGGGAACTCTTAAGGCGACATTTTGGACAATTTCATGCTCCCAACTTTAAGGGAAGAGTTTGGGGATGGCCCCTTCCTGTTCCAACATGACTGCCCACCAGTGCACAAAGCAAGGTCCATAAAGACATGGAGGAGCCAGTTTGGGGTGGAGGAACCTGACTGTCCTGCACAGAGTCCTGACCTCAACCCCATAGAACACCTTTGGGATGAATTAGAGCGGAGACTGCGAGCCAGGCCTCCTCCCCCGACATCAGTGCCTGACCTGACAAATGTGCTTCTGGAAGAATGGTCCAACCTTCCCATAGACACCCTCCTAAACCTTGTGGACGGCCTTCCCAGAAGAGTTGAAGCTGTTATAGCTGCAAAGGGCGGGGCCAACTCAATATTGAACCCTACGGACTAAGACTGGGGGGCCATTAAAGGTCATGTGCGTGGAAAGGGCGGGGCCAACTCAATATTGAACCCTACGGACTAAGACTGGGGGGCCATTAAAGGTCATGTGTGTAGAAAGGGCGGGGCCAACTCAATACTGAACCCTACGGACTAAGACTGGGGGGCCATTAAAGGTCATGTGTGTGGAAAGGGTGGGGCCAACTCAATATTGAACCCTACGGACTAAGACTGGGGGGCCATTAAAGGTCATGTGTGTGGAAAGGGCGGGGCCAAGTTAATATTGAACCCTACGGACTAAGACTGGGGGGCCATTAAAGGTCATGTGCGTGGAAGGGCCGGCCGACCAATACTTGGGGCAATATAGTGTATTTGTCACACAGGGAGTGAATTTATTTATTGGACTGGCAGAGTTATTTATTATAGGTACTCATATAGGACATATATATATATTGTACATTCACATCAGTCCCCGCCCCCGAGGGGTGTACAATCTAAGGTCCCTAACTCACATTCATACATACACATACTAGGGAAAATTTAGACAGGAGCCAAATAACCTACCAGCATGTCTTTGGAGTGTGGGATGAAACTGGAGCATCCAGAGGAAACCCACGCAGGCACAGGGAGAACATGCAAACTCCAGGCAGGTGGTGCCATGGTTGGGATTTTAACCAAAGACCTGAGTACAGCCAGGCGCAAGTGCTAACCAGGGGCGGACTGACCATTTGGAAACTCGGGCACTGTCCGAGGGCCCGGGTCAGTAGGGGGCCCCATGAGATGCCCCTGGAACCTTTTTCATAGGCCTTTTTGAGTTTGGGCAAGGACACAGGGGCCCCATGATCCTCTATTGCCCGGGGGCCCCATGAGTTGTCAGTCCACCCCTGGTGCTAACCATTTAGCCACTGTGCTGCCCATGCACTTCTAGGCTTGTATTGTGTTTGTATTTTGTGGCTCTGAAAAGTCGGAAGAAGAACTTGAGTATGTAATGAGCGAATATAATTATAAATGATACAAAGTAACAATTGTAGAACATTGATCCAGCTATTTACATAGGATTGTAATGTGTTTGTATTTTGTAGCCATGCAAAGTAGAAAGAAGAACTAGTGTATGTAAGGAGCAAATCGAATTATAAACCAAACAAAGAAGTAACGTATTAGAATATTGATACAACTATATACAGTAAACAGATCATCTGTGAAAGCATTGAATGACTACGGGGTGAATGACAACGGGGTGAATGAGCACAGGGTGAATGAGCACAGGGTGAATGACCACGGGGTGAATGACTACGGGGTGAATGACCACGGGGTGAATGACCACGGGGTGAATGACTACGGGGTGAATGACCACGGGGTGAATGACTACGGGGTGAATGACCACGGGGTGAATGACTACGGGGTGAATGACCACGGGGTGAATGACCACGGGGTGAATGAGCACGGGGTGAATGACTACGGGGTGAATGACTACGGGGTGAATGACCACGGGGTGAATGACTACGGGGTGAATGACCACGGGGTGAATGACTACAGGGTGAATGACTACGGGGTGAATGACCACGGGGTGAATGACCACGGGGTGAATGACCACGGGGTGAATGACTACGGGGTGAATGACTACGGGGTGAATGACCACGGGGTGAATGACCACGGGCTGAATGACCACGGGGTGAATGACCACGGGGTGAATGACCACGGGGTGAATGACTACAGGGTGAATGACAACAGGGGGTGAATATAAAATGTGTGCTGGTCCTCTCCCCGTCTTTTAGCTCTGGGGAAGTGTTCCAGAATTCGGGATCTTTGGGAAGAACACGTGATCCTGTGTTGTAGCTGGGAATTTTGGCACACGGGATCTCCGGCACTCCTCTGCAGATCTCACCGTCCAGCCGAGTGTGGATAGGAGCCCACATATCTGCTCTTGTTTGATTTTCAGCCCAGAACATTTTTTGGCATAAACAAAATCTTCCGAATTCAGCCCACACATTCCGCTCGATTCACATTTCTTGGATGTGACATTTTTGTTCCTTGAGGACGCCTCACATTCTGTTCAGTAATGTCACATTTTTCATTAGTTAAATGTGTCACTGATTTTACTATAAATAGGGATTGCCTCGGGATATTGCCGGTGTTTTTGCTCCCAGTTGGTCAGCCAAACCTCGGGGCACCCCTTTGGACACCTTTTTACTAGTTTTTCTCTTTACATTCATAAATATTATAACAATCATCTTTTAGAGCAGAGACATAGGAGCAGGGTGATGCTCTGCAGATGTAATACTAGATTTATAATAGGAAAGCGGTGGGCGCAGGGTGATGCTCTGCAGATGTAGAATAGAAGCAGGAGCTGGGTGATGCTCTGCAGATGTAATACTAGATTTATTATAGGAAAGAGAGTGCGCAGAAGGTGATGCTCTGCAGATATAGAAGAGTATCCAGAGCAGGGTGATGCTCTGCAGATGTAATACTAGATTTATTATAGGAAAGAGGTGCGCAGAAGGTGATGCTCTGCAGATATAGAAGAGTATCCAGAGCAGGGTGATGCTCTGCAGATGTAATACTAGATTTCTAATAGGAAAGAGGTGGGCACAGGGCGATGCTCTGCAGATGTAATACTAGATTTATGGTAGGAAAGAGGTGGGCACAGGGCGATGCTCTGCAGATGTATTACTAGATTTATGGTAGGAAAGAGGTGGGCACAGGGTGATGCTCTGCAGATGTAGGAGAAGCAGGGTGATGCTCTGCAGATGTATTACTAGATTTATGGTAGGAAAGAGGTGGGCACAGGGTGATGCTCTGCAGATGTAGAAGAGAAGTGGGAGCAGGGTGATGCTCTGCAGATGTAATCCTAGATTTATAATAGAAAAGAGGTGGGCACAGGGTGATGCTCTGCAGGTGTAATACTAGATTTATAATAGGAAAGAGGTGGGCATAGGGTGATGCTCTGCAGGTGTAATACTAGATTTATAATAGGAAAGAGGTGGGCATAGGGTGATGCTCTGCAGATGTAATACTAGATTTATAATAGGAAAGAGGTGGGCATAGGGTGATGCTCTGCAGATGTAATCCTAGATTTATAATAGAAAAGAGGTGGGCACAGGGTGATGCTCTGCAGATGTAATCCTAGATTTATAATAGAAAAGAGGTGGGCATAGGGTGATGCTCTGCAGATGTAATACTAGATTTATAATAGGAAAGAGGTGGGCACAGGGTGATGCTCTGCAGATGTAATACTAGATTTATAATAGGAAAGAGGTGGGCACAGGGTGATGCTCTGCAGATGTAATACTAGATTTATAATAGGAAAGAGGTGGGCACAGGGTGATGCTCTGCAGATGCATTACTGGGTATATTGGAAGAGAGAGGTGGACAGAAGGTGATGCTCTGCAGATGTAGAAGAGAAGCAGGGTGATGTTCTGCAGATGTAATACTAGAGTTATGGTAGGAAAGAGATGGGCAGAAGGTGATGCTCTGCAGATGTAGAAGAGAAGCAGGGTGATGTTCTGCAGATGTAATACTAGAGTTATGGTAGGAAAGAGATGGTGATGCTGCTCTGCAGATGTAGGAGAAGCAGGGTGATGTTCTGCAGATGTAGGAGAAGCAGGGTGATGTTCTGCAGATGTAGGAGAAGCAGGGTGATGCTCTGCAGATGTATTACTAGATTTATGGTAGGAAAGAGGTGGGCACAGGGCGATGCTCTGCAGATGTAGAAGAGGAGTAGGGTGATGCTCTGCAGATGTATTACTAGATTTATAATAGGAAAGAGGTGGGCATAGGGTGATGCTCTGCAGAGCTTTGACTTTTAAATGAAGGTGGGGAGGGAGGGATGGAGTGGTGATGAATGTGCAGGCTGAAATTGTGTGATTGTAGATCCGTATACGGATGAAGATGACCTGTCATTGTCATTATCATTGCAGATGGCTGTGCTGGAGATTCAGTCTAATGGGGAAAAAGTGTTGGAGGAGAATATAAAGCGAGCCATAAGCTCCTTGGAGGACCCCAATATGAAGGTGAGGGAAGAGCACTTCTAGGAGTGAATGTCTGGTTGGAGTTCTGTTCGGCATGTGAACTGATCCTGATTGACACTTTGTAACATGATTTTCCAGGAATTTATCATGCAGTGTCTCTCGGTTTTCCCGAAGAAACGTCCATCGGCACACGACCTGCTCTTCCACCGAGAGTGTTGTTTGAGGTTCATTCACTGAAGCTCCTGGCGGCGCACTGCTTCCTCAACACCCCCTGTAAGTATTAACGCTGAAGTTTAATCTGCTTGTATTTTGCATTCCCTGGTTCCTCACCCCCCCCCCCCCCCCCCCGTCGGCATGCTGATGAAAAATCTTTTCATTTGCGTGAAATATCTTATTTTAATTCCAGTTATATCATCACTGGCTTTCTGCGCTTCTCTATGCGATGCAGGCAGATTGTGGCTGGTGGGAGGGGCCAGCAGAGTGCTGTACAGCTTCCTGAAAAACATCACAACACCCGCCCTCAGTCCTCCTTTTCATCAGGTGTCCCCAATAGAGTCCCCCTTTACATCAGCTGTCCCCAGTAGAATCCCCTTTTACATCAGGTGTCTCAAGTAGAACCCCCTTTTACATCAGGTGTACCCAATAGAGTCCCCATTTACATCAGGTGTCCCCAGTAGAGACCCGTTTACATCAGGTGTCCCCAGTAGAGACCCGTTTACATCAGGTGTCCCCAGTAGAGTCCCCCTTTTCATCAGGTGTCCCAATAGAGTCCCCCTTTACATCAGGTGTCCCAATAGAGTCCCCCATTTACATCAGGTGTCCCCAGTAGAGTCCCCCTTTACATCAGGTGTCCCCAGTAGAGTCCCCCTTTACATCAGGTGTCCCCAGTAGAGTCCCCCTTTACATCAGGTGTCCCCAGTAGAGTCCCCCTTTACATCAGGTGTCCCCAGTAGAGTCCCCCTTTACATCAGGTGTCCCCAGTAGAGAGTCCCCCTTTACCCTCAGGTGTCCCCAATAGAGTCCCCCTTTACATCAGGTGTCCCCAATAGAGTCTCCCTTTACATCAGGTGTCCTCAATAGAGACCCGTTTACATCAGGTGTCCCCAGTAGAGTCCCCCTTTACATCAGGTGTCCCCAATAGAGTCCCCCTTTACATCAGGTGTCCCCAATACAGTCCCCTTTACATCAGGTGTCCCCAGTACAGTCCCCCTTTTTATCAGGTGTCCCCCCAAAGAGTCTCCTCTTTTACATCAGGTGTCCCCAGTAAAGAGTCTCCTTTTACATCAGGTGTCCCCAATACAAGTCCCCTTTACATCAGGTGTCCCCAATAGAGTCTCCTTTTACATCAGGTGTCCCCAGATTTTTTTTACATGTGATTACTGGCTATAGCTGCCAGCAGCAATCATTGTGTTCTGCCAGCCGAGAAGGTGAGCCCCCTCCCCAATCCCCCCACCTCTCAGCAGAACACAATATCACTGGGGTAGGCATTCAAATGATTTTTTTTTTTTTTTCCTTCCAACCCACGATGGAAGGAAATAAAATTGTATAATCTATCGGCTACCTAATTCCTCAAACTGTACGATCTTGAGGACTCTGCTTTCGACAGCCAGTAGGCACAGAGCACTTTTTAGCCTTTCCTGGGTCACCAGGTGGTTCTCCGATAATTCTTTATCAGTGACAATTTTTTTACGCTGAACGACTTTTCTTCCAAACAGTTCAGTAACACCTGGAAAGGTATCAGCAAGCCCCCTCATCATGTAATAAACAATTGCCTGTTGAGATGAAGTGAGACTGGACAGGAGCCCCCATATAAATCCAGTAGGGTCTCAGTAATTGTGGGTGGCACACAACCCATAAGGGTAGGATTTCAGTAATTGTGGGTGGACACACAGCCCATGAGGGTAGGGTCTCAGTAATTGTGGGTGGACACACAGCCCATGAGGGTAGGGTTCAGTAATTGTGGGTGGACACACAGCCCATGAGGGTAGGATTTCAGTAATTGTGGGTGGGCACACAACCCATAAGGGTAGGGTCTCAGTAATCGTGGGTGGACACACAGCCCATGAGGGTAGGGTCTCAGTAATTGTGGGTGGACACACAGCCCATGAGGGTAGGATTTCAGTAATTGTGGGTGGGCACACAACCCATAAGGGTAGGGTCTCAGTAATCGTGGGTGGACACACAGCCCATGAGGGTAGGGTCTCAGTAATCATGGGTGGACACACAGCCCATGAGGGTAGGGTCTCAGTAATTGTGGGTGGACACCAGGGGTGGACTGACCATTTGGAAACTCGGGAGCACTGCCCAAGGGTCAGGTCAGTAGGGGGCCCCATGAGATGCCCCTGGTTTTCAAAGGCTTTTTTGAGTTTGGGCAAGGACACAGGGGGCCCATGATTTCCTATTGCCTGGGGGGTTGTCAGTCGTTGTGAGTTGTCAGTCCGCCCCTGGTGGACACACAGCCCATGAGGGTAGGGTCTCAGTAATTGTGTGTGGACACACAGCCCACGAGGGTTGGGTCTCAGTAATTGTGGGTGGGCACACAGCCCACGAGGGTAGGGTCTCAGAGACTTGACAAAGCGCATGCGCGCGAAACATGTTGTCCCAGCAACCGGCCTCTTCCTTCTAAAGCTGCGGCTCCAGCAAGAGTTCCCCCCCTCCGTCTCTCCACATCGTGGTGACGTCATCCAGGACGCTGGGACGTCGGGTAAACGTGGTCCCTGCACTGACAGGCATTCTACTCCACTGCTTCCCTCTGAGCGGACGGGCCGTCCATCTTGGAACCTGGTTTCCTAAAGCCACAGGCTGGTTATTTATTATTGTTTTACCATATGACTTATTAAAGGCACACCTCCATACAAGGTGTATTATTTCTATCACAAAACTACACAGCGCCTGGCTCCTGTTCATATCTCAGTAATTGTGGGTGGACACTGCCCATGAGGGTAGGGTCTCGGGACATAAAGGAGGCCTAAGTACACAAGGGAAGGGTCAGAATCTATGAGGGCAAAGAGTCAGAAAATAAAAGTTGATCTTAATTCATGAGGGTGGGGCAGGGGCGGACTGACAACTCATGGGGCCCCCGGGCAATAGGGGATCATGGGGCCCCTGTGTCCTTACCCAAACTCAAAAAAGCCTATGAAAAAGGTACCAGGCAGGGGCGGACTGACAACTCATGGGCCCCCTGGGCAATAGGGGATCATGGGGCTCCTGTGTCCTTGCCCAAACTCAAAAAAGCCTATGAAAAAGGTACCAGGCAGGGGCGGACTGACAACTCATGGGCCCCCTGGGAATAGGGGATCATGGGGCTCCTGTGTCCTTACCCAAACTCAAAAAAGCCTATGAAAAAGGTACCAGGCGGACTGACAACTCATGGGCCCCCTGGGCAATAGGGGATCATGGGGCTCCTGTGTCCTTGCCCAAACTCAAAAAAGCCTATGAAAAAGGTACCAGGCAGGGGCGGACTGACAACTCATGGGCCCCCTGGGAAATAGGGGATCATGGGGCTCCTGTGTCCTTGCCCAAACTCAAAAAAGCCTATGAAAAAGGTACCAGGGGCATCTCATGGGGCCCCCTACTGACCCCGGGCCCTCGGGCAGTGTCCGAGTTTCCAAATGGTCAGTCCGCCCCTGGGGTGGGGTAACCGTGCATGAAGAAGTAGACTCAGTACAGGATCTTAATACATAAGGGAGGAGACCCAGTCTCTGATGCAGGAAATTGACTTTATAAAGGTGGGGTCCTTGAGGTTACTTGAAGAGGGAAGCAAGTCCATTAAGTTAGTACTGTACATGGGGAAGAAACTTTGTATATGGGAGAGGGGACTCTCTATGAAAGGGATAATTCAGCTTATGAAGGTATGGTCTAAGTACAGTATATCAGGAGGAGGGCATTTAGTCAGTTCAAGAGGGCACACTGTTAATAAAGGAGGGGGTAAGACCACTAGGGTGCAGGTACAATTCACAAGGAATTCAGTACATGGAAGAAGGAGAAGAAAACCATGATTAGGCTAAATCCTTAAGTGGGAGAGCACAATCCATGAGGTTGGTGGTTCAGTTCCTTTAGGGCAAGACCATGAGGGGGGACTTCATACATGAGTAGGACCTGTCTTTAGAGGAGGGGAATCAGTTTATGAGTGTGGTGGTTCAGTTCCCTTAGGGTAGGGCCATGAGGGGGGACTTCCTACATGAGAAGGACCTGTCTTTGGAGGAGGGGACTCAGTTCATGAGGGTGGTGGTTCAGTTCCTTTAAGGTAGGACCATGAGGGGGGACTTCCTACATGAGAAGGACCTGTCTTTAGAAGAGAGGACTCAGTTCATGAGGGAGGTGGTTCAGTTCCCTTAGGTAGGACCATGAGGGGGGACTCCTACATGAGAAGGACCTGTCTTTGGAGGAGGGGACTCAGTTTATGAGGGTGGTGGTTCAGTTCCTTTAGGGTAGGACCATGAGGGGGGATTTCCTACATGAGAAGGACCTGTCTTTGGAGGAGGGGACTCAGTTCATGAGGGATGGGGTTCAGTCCAATGAAGCTGACATAGTGGACTGAAGCGGACATAGTCTATCGGGAAAGAGGTGCAGAGCCTAGGTGCATTGACTGACTATGGTAAAGTTTTATGATTAGAGAAGAGTGAAGCAGTAACAGACTTTGGTGTCAGTGAAATCTGTGAAATTTGATTTGTTCTTTTTGGAAGAACGAATCCTACTCCATACAGAGTTGGGGCCAATTGTTTGTTGTTAAAGGCCCAACTGTTGGGCCTGTAACAAGAAACTCAATTCAGTCTAAGTCAGCCATAACTCTCCTCTCTTCGACTGTGGAACACCCATCTATCTGTCCATCCCATCATTCTCCTCTCGTTCATTATCCATCTCTGTTCTGTTACTACTGCTATCTTTTTCATAATTTTCTTTCCTACCCCACAGTCTTCTCAGTCTCTTCTTTTTGACTTCTCTCTCATTCTCTTTCCATTCATTCCTTCTTTTCTACAATGCTTGCCAATGTTTTCACCTAATACCACAGATTATAATACACCCAAACACTCATTGTCCCTCAACAATACCTTGTCCAATTTTCCCTAGTGATGGGACCCATCAATAGTCACTGGTGATAATCCAATGTATTGTTGAGGGACGATGAGTGTTTGGGTGTATTATGAGAAGACACTGTACTCTGGTTCAATGCTGGACACACATTGTCCAATTTTCCCTAGTGATGGGACCCATCAATAGTCACTGGTGATAATCAATGTGTGTCCAGCATTGAACCATAGTACAGTGTCCTCTCCCAGTCCTGGCCTGGTCTGTGGACCTTGAGGACCAGAGTTGGACACCCAATTGTGATATCACTCTGTCATATTGTCTCTGCAGACATCACACACGATAGCCTATTGGAGGAGAAGACCAAAATGATCGACCCTCAGGGTATCATGGCTACTATGCCGCGGAAGGGTCAGCCGACTATGCAATGGAGGTAAATGTGAGCTATTTTGCTAAAAGAGTGAATGGCCGAAGGCAATACATGGTTTTGAAGGGGGTCAGCTGTCAGCTAAGCCCTGGGATGAGATCATGAAAAATTACATTCACCAGCCTTTATTAGGTCCACTTGTTCAATTGCTTGGTAACACAAATTTATAATCAGCTAATCACATGGCAGCAACTCAATGCCTTTAGGCATCTAGACGTGGTGAAGACGACTTGCTGAAGTTCAAACTGAGCATCAGAATAGGGAAGATAGGAGATGTAAGTGACTTTGAACGTGGCATGGTTATTGGTGCCAGACGGGCTGGTCTGAGTATTTCAAAAACTGCTGATCTACTGGGACTTTCATACACAACCATTTCTAGGGTTTACAGAGATTGGTCTGCAAAAGAGAAAATATCCAGTGAGCGGCAAAAATGCCTTGTTGATGTCAGAGGAGAATGGGCAGACTGGTTCAAGATGATAGAAAGGCAACAGTTACTCAAATATACTCGTTACAACCAAGGTATGCAGAATACCATCTCTGAACACACAATACGTCAAAGCAGGTGGGCTACAGTAGCAGAAGACCACACCGGCGGGTCACTCCAGTCAGCTAAGAACAGGAAACGGAGGCTACAATTCGCGCAGGCTCACCAAAATTGGGCACCAGAAAATTGGAAAAACATTGCCTGGTCTTATTAGTCTCGATTTTAGCTGCAGCATTCAGATGGTAGGGTCAGAATTTGATGAAAACATGGATCCATCCTGCCTTGTATCAACTGTTCAGGCTGGTGGTGGTGGTGGTGTAATAGTGTGAGAGGGATATTTTCTTGGCACAATTTGGGCCCCTTAGTACCAACAGTACAGTGTACCCATCTTCTGATGGCTCCTTCCAGCACGATAATGTCACAAAGCACAAGTCATCTCAAACTGGTTTCTTGAACATGAAAATGAGTTCACTGTACTCCAATGGCCTCCACAGTCACCAGATCTCAATCCAATAGAGGACATTTGGGATGTGGTGGAATGGGAAATTCGCCTCATGGATGTGCAGTCAACCAATCTGCAGCAACTGCGTGATGCTGTCATGTCAATATGGACTAAAATCTCTGAGGAATGTTTCCAACACCTTGTTGAATGTATGCCACCAAGAATGAAGGCAGTTCTGAAGGCAAAAGTGTCCCGTGAGTGCATATTTGTAAGCCATTAGATGTGTGCTCTTAATGTGGATGTTGGGCATATTGGTCACGGGGCCACAGGAGGTGTTTTTGAGGCCAATGGAGACATTTTGGACTACAAGAAGTGCTTGGCAATAGAAATGGTCTCACTCAATCTCCTATCTTTACCAGGTATTCCCAGGTTGGGTCTATGGAGCTGGACAAGTTTCTGGAAGATGTCAGGTGAGAAGACACTGCGGTCAGCTGTTGATGGCTTTCACTGCCTGGATCTCTCTTTTCATTATGACATTATCTAACCTTCATATTCTCACCTCCTCTCCCACATACTCTCTCTGCTCCAGATCTTCTTGGCCAGTCACAATCTGAGTATTGTCTCTCTGATTACCTGTGTTATGGAGAATGTCTCTTTCTCTCTGTCTCTGCCTCTCTACTCTTCTGTCCCCTGCTTTGTCTCTCTCTTTCGCTTTCCCATTTCCCCAACTTTCTGGCTTCTTTGAATTTAATGTTCTTGTGGTTCCTCTAGAAATGGAATTTACCCACTCATGAACTTTGCCGTCTCTCGTCCTCATGTCCTGCCACGCGCCCTCTCACAGTCCCAGGAAGATCTACAGACAGTAAAGACCCCCACACCAGAGCCGGTGGAGGTGGAGACCCGAAGGTGGGCCACAGAGAATACCGTGTGATATAAGAGGATGTGGTCAGTAATTATAGACAGTTACCCCTAATGTTTTGTGTTTTTTCTTATTGCAGGTCACCCAGATGCACTGTAGCCTAGAGCGCAGGGAAGACAAGGCACGCTTACATGTATGTAACACACAGATCCGTGTTACTAGAATTCAATTCCATGAGTACTAAAGCTACTGTGTGATGAGATGGTTCTTATATTGTTCTGCATATGATGAAGAGAAAGGTGGGAAGGGGGATGGGGTCTCATGGGTGGACAAGAATTGCGTATGGATCGATATCCGTTATTGATCCTATTTTGTGCTCCTATTGAAAGGTCACTTTTGTAAGTTCCACCTATTTTTACAGTCGCTTGGGCAAATTCCTCCACCCATTGTCACCAGACCTCAAGAAAAGTGAAAATAAGAGAAAAAATTAATTTTTGCCAGTTGTCCCCAAACTGTAGCCCATGGGCTGTATACAGACCCTTTCTTGCTTTTAGCAAACTCTTCAGACACTGCTTCCCACTGACACCACTGATGGGGCACTATGATTTTCAAGAACAAAAAAAGAGGCACAATTTCTCCCACTGATGCTAGGAACTAGTCCATGCACTAACAACTATGGAAAGCTATTCCTTCCACTGACACCAATGATAGGGCAGTATTCTTGACATTGACACCAACTATAGGGCACTATTCCTCCCATCGACTCCAATAAAAGGGCACCATTCCTACCAATGACTCCAATGATGGGGCACTATTCTTGCCACTGACACCAATCATGGGGCACTATTCCTCCCACTGATACCAACTACGGGGCACTATAACTCCCACTGACTTCAATGAAGAGGCACCATTCCTTCCACTGACACCAATAATTGGACACTATTCTTTACATCTTCCCACTGACTCCAATCATGGGACACTGTTCCTTCCACTGACTCCAACAATGGGGCACTTATTCCTCTCACTTACACTAATGATGGGGCATCATTTTTTCCTCTGACCCCCACAATAGGGCACTTATTCCTCTCAATGACTCCATTGATGGCACATAATTACTCCCACAGACACCTACGATGGAGCATTAATCCTCCTACTGACAGCAATGATGGGGCATCATTCCTCCCACTGACACCAACAATGGGGCATTACTCCTCCCACTGACTCCAAGGAGGGGGAACTATTTCCCCCACTGACACCAAGGACAGGCCATTATTCCTCTTACCATAGATGCTAGCCTTTTTTTTACTCCCACTGACAGTCACATCTGGGAGGGGGGATTGTTGATTCCACTGACCATTGACACTGGGGAATTTTCTATCCCCACTTGCCATAGTTTGGCCACTCTTAAAAAAGAGGCACAATTTCTCCCACTGACCCTGGGAACTGTTCCTTGCACTGATAACATTGGGGCACTATTCCTTCCACTGACATCAATTACGGGGCACTATTTCTCCCACTGACACCAACAATGAGACACTATTCCTCCCACTGACACCAACAAATGGGGCACTATTCCTCCCACAGACACCAATGATGGGGCACTATTCATCCCACTGACACCAACAATAGGGCACTATTTCTCCCACAGACACCAAGGATGGTCCATTATTCCCACCCCCACTTAACACAATCATTTTTTTTACTCCCATCAACAGCCAGACATGAGGGATTGCTGACTTACACTGTCCATTGACACCAGTGTATTTTTTACCTTCACTAACCACTGTCTGGCTACCCTGAGATCTGAAGAGAATTAAATTGGCCAATTGTTTAGAAGGTTTGAGGGCCCCTGCTCCAACCAATTGTTTTTTTTTTTTTCCCAGAGAGGGAAATGTCCTCAGTGTTCTATTTTCCAGTCTTTCTTGTGTTCACCATTGTTCTCCACAACTCTCCATTTTGTACTTCTATTAGCTGGAGAAAATCTTGTGTGGAGCACAACAAAATGAAAATAACTTTGCCACCATTAACAGATGGGCTCCAAGGAAGACCTCTCACCATCCAAGTGACAGCAGTAACATGACTGTGTGGAGCATGCAGTAAAGTGAACAAATTGTTTGCCCTCCCCACCCTCCCTCTATGAAGATAACAAGATACATTGGCCTACAGGCATTTTAATGGACAAATTGTTTTAAGTAATATTGGTCGGGCCTTCCAAGACCCATTTATTATTAGTTAAATATTCATCCCACCATTTGTACCTACTAGCAGTACCATGACGGGGCAAGGCTCTTTAGTATTCAAGACAAAAAGGCCAGACCCCCCCTCCAACAGCTTTAGAAGCATAGGCACATGTTCTGCCCTTTTTATGTCCCCCCCCCCCTTCCCTCCTGCTTCAAAGCCCAAGGTGGACACCACTTTTGCCTACCATGTGGCCCAGGCCTGGTCCTTGGGAAGTCTTCTTCTCTATTCCACACCAGACCCTGCATTCCATTTGAGTTCCAGTTTGGAGTTCTAATACCCCCTCCCCCCAGCATACCACAATGCAATATACTCACCTATTGATTGTCATTGTTGCACTGATGTGAAGCCAATGATAGAATCTTTCACACTAAGTAGTATGGAGTCCATATATGAAAAGCACTCCAGACCATCCACAATACTCACGTAAGCATGTGTATAGCACTTTAAAAAAATCCTAGGACAACCCTTAAACCGATCAGCTTCCTGTGCATTCTTGAAGCCTCTATCCACTGGTTTTGGACTCAATATATGGAAAGCACTCTGTACTCCCTCAAAGGAACAGATGCAGCGCTAACAAACCCCGCCCCTACGCGTTTCGTCGCATAACGTCATCAGGAGAAGACAAAGTCTTCTCTGTTCCACACCAGCCCCTCATTCCATTTGAGTTCTAGTTTGGAGTTCTAATACCCTCTCCCCCCAGCATACCACAATGCAATATACTCACCTATTTATTGTCATTGTTGCAGTGGTGTGAAGCCAATGATAGAATCTTTCACACTAAGTACGTCTAGGTTTGGGGATATAACTTTTCTCAGGGCTGCATAGGTAGGTCAAACTGCGTGTTTGGTCCTTCTGCAAGCCCCTAAACCGATCAGCTTCCTGTGCATTCTTGAAGTCTCTATCCACTGGTTTTGGACTCAATATATGAAAAGCACTCTGTACTCCCTCATAGGAACAGATGCGGCGCTAACAAACCACTCCCTACACGTTTTGTCGTATGACATCATCAGGAACGGACAAAGTCTTCTTCTCTGTTCCACACCAGCCCCTGCATTCCATTTGAGTTCCAGTTTGGAATTCTAATACCCCCTCCCTCCAGCATACCACAATGCAATATACTCACCTATTTATTGTCATTGTTGCACTGGTGTGAAGCCAATGATAGAATTTTTCATACTAAGTACGTCCAGGTTTGGGGATATAACTTTTCTCAGGGCTGCATAGGCAGGTCAAACTGCGTGTTTGGTGCTTCTGCAAGCCCCTAAACCGATCAGCTTCCTGTGCACTCTTGAAGTCTCTATCCACTGGTATTGGACTCCATATATGAAAAGCACTCTGTACTCCCTCATAGGAACAGATGCGGCGCTAACAAACCACTCCCTACACGTTTCGTAGTATAACGTCATCAGGAACGGACAAAGTCTTCTTCTCTGTTCCACACCAGCCCCTGCATTCCATTTGAGCTCCAGTTTGGAGTTCTAATACCCCCTCCCTTCAGCATACCACAATGCAATATACTCACCTATTTATTCCCATTGTTGCACTGGTGGGAAGTCAATGATAGAATCTTTCACACTAAGTATGTCCAGGTTTGGGGATATAACTTTGCTCAGGGCTGCATAGGCAGGTCAAACTGCGTGTTTGGTGCTTCAGCAAGCCCCTAAACCGATCAGCTTCCTGTGTACTCTTGAAGTCTCTATCCACTGGTTTTGGACTCCATATATGAAAATCACTCCAGACCATCCACAATACTCATGTAAGCATGTGTATAGCACTTTAAAAAAAAATCCTAGGACACTGCGTTTCCTCTGCACTCCCTCATAGGAACAGATGCGGCGCTAACAAACCACTCCCTATGCGTTTCGTCACATGACATCATCAGGAGTGGACAAAGTCTTCTTCTCTGTTCCACACCAGACCCTGCATTGCATTTGAGTTCCAGCTTGGAGTTCTAATACCCCCTCCCTCCAGCATACCACAATGCAATATACTCACCTATTTATTGTCATTGTTGCACTGGTGTGAAGCCAATAATAGAATCTTTCACACTAAGTACGTCCAGGTTTGGGTATATAACTTTGCTCAGGGCTGCATAGGTAGGTCAAACTGGGCGTTTGGTGCTTCAGCAAGCCCCTAAACCGATCAGCTTCCTGTGCACTCTTGAAGTCTCTATCCACTGGTTTTGGACTCCATATATGAAAAGCACTCTGTACTCCCTCATAGGAACAGATGCAGCACTAACAAACCACTCCCTACACATTTCGTCGCATGACATCATCAGGAGCGGACAAAGTCTTCTTCTCTGTTCCACACCAGCCCCTGCATTCCATTTGAGTTCCAGTTTGGAGTTTTAATACCCCCTCCCTCTAGCATACCACAATGCAATATACTCACCTATTTATTCCCATTGTTGCACTGGTGTGAAGTCAATGATAGAATCTTTCACACTAAGTACGTCCAGGTTTGGGGATATAACTTTGCTCAGGGCTGCATAGGCAGCTCAAACTGCACGTTTGGTGCTTCAGCAAGCCCCTAAACCAATCAGCTTCTTGTGTACTCTTGAAGTCTCTATCCACTGGTTTTGGACTCCATATATGAAAATCCTCCAGACCATGCACAATACTCATGTAAGCATGTGTATAGCACTTTTAAAAAAAATCCTAGGACACTGCGTTTCCTCTGTACTCCCTCATAGGAACAGGTATGGCGCTAACAAACCCCTCCCTACACGTTTCGTCGCATGACATCATCAGGAGCGGACAAAGTCTTCTTCTCTGTTCCACACCAGACCATTCATTCCATTTGGGTTCCAATACCCCTCCCTCCAGCATACCACAATGCAATACACTCACCTATTTTTTGTTTTTGTTGCACTGGTGTGAATCCAATGATAGAATCTTTCACACTAAGTACATCCAGGTTTGGGGATACAAGTTTTCTCAGGGCTGAAACCCTATGCAGGCACTCTGTGGTGGCCTATGTTCGTTTTTTCTTGTTTGACCCCTGTCCCCTCGGTGTCACTGCTTCTTATAGCGTCCCTGCTACAAATGATTTCTCTTGATACAAGCCGCCATTGTAATAAATGTCCATTTCTACATTGGAGCTCCCTATACCTTCTGCTGTGTCATGAGTCAATGATAGAATCTTTCACTACGTCTTTTCACTTGTGTCATGAGTCTCTCTTTTCACAGCTCACCCTCTATCTGAAGCTGGACGACAAGCTGCACCGACACCTGAGCTGTGACCTGCTGCCCAGTAAGTAATATTTCTCCAAAGGGCGTCCCTAGGATTGGTGTCACCCGGTGCTGTAACACTGTGACACCCCCCTCAGACGATCCCCGTAGAATGGATCGGATCTGCGGATTGAGCATAATGGATCGGAGTCCGATCCATTATGCTCCCCAATCCGCAGATCCGATCCATCCTGCGGGGATCGTCGGCTTGCTTTACAACTTACTTTTTTTTGTGGAGTGGTCCACTGTCACCCTGTATAGGTTGCATGCCGACGATCCCCGCAGAATGGATCAGATTGGGGAGCATAATGAATCTGAGTCCAATCCATTATGCTCCCCAATCCGCAGATCCGATCCATCCTGTGGGGATCGTCGGCTTGCTTTGCAACTTACTTTTTTCGTGGAGCGGGTCCGGTGTCACCCCGTATAGGTTGCATGCCGACGATCCCCGCAGGATGGTTCGAATCTGCGGACTGAGCATAATGAATCGGAGTCCGATCCATTATGCTCCCCAATCCGCAGATCCCATCCATGCAACCTATACCGGGTGACACCGGACCCACTCCACGAAGAGGTAAGTTGTAAAGAAAGCCGACGATCCCCGCAGGATGGATATTAGAGCACCCCCCGCATATGCCTCGGTATGCCACTGGGTGCTCTAATATAGGGGGTTGTTCCTGCAAGCCATGGCCCCATTCATTCACACAGCGAAGATTTCTGGAGGGAAGAAAAAGGTAAGTGTTTGAGCAGATTGGCTGCACTCATGAGAGAAAAAAAACATGGTGGTCTTTGAAAAAAGCTTAGAGGCTAATCTTCAGCAGCCCCCCCCCCCCCCCCCCCCCATCCTCTGTGCCAGGCGCAGCGCACGCAGTGGTTCCGTGGCAGAAAAAATGGCAGTCTGTTGTCCACAAAGGGTAACAGTCTCAAACATCTCCATCCATGTGTCCAACAACTGACCAATTCCTCTCCTCCTTCCTCCAGATGAGAGCTCTCAGACGCTGGCCTCTGAACTCGTCCATTATGGCTTTATCAGCGAGGTAAGGTTTCCCAGAATCCATTGCACAGACACGCTCTGCCAGTGTATGTATTTTTCATCCGAAATATATACAGTATATAAAATGTATTTATTGAAATATATTGAATACGACCAAAATTGTAGTCTTTCAAATATATGTCAATATATTTGTGAAGAAAATTTTTAAAATATATTTCAAATATATTTTTCTTCCACGCGGGGTCATATGACCATATCATCTCCAAACTTTCCTCAGCTGAGTTCTTCTTAAATATTGCCATTTATTTCCCCTGATAATGAACATCCATCTTTCATGTTTCCCCAGGACGACTGTCAGAAAATGGCGAACTTCCTGGAAGAGGCCCTCATCAAGCAGCGCTCCCCTCTGAACTGACCGCAGCTCCTGAGTGGATAATTCTCTGGAATATGGTAGCAGGAGGCTCTGGAATATGGTAGCAGGAGGCTTGTGAATGGGACGGGGAGGTGACACAGAGTTACTGCTCCAGGGGTGTGGCCTGGGAGTGGCTATTTGTGACATCCAGCCCCTGCGGGGACGAGGCGGCACTGGGAACCATGGAAGAACCTCCAACGTCAAGGCAATAAAGGAGAAGAGAACTTACTGTTAAGATGAGGCAAGCTTGATGCCTTCTTGGTGGCCAATGGATTAATTGAATGGCAGACGTCCCACCTGTGTGATTTGTGATCAGGGGTGGACTGACCAATTGGAAACTCGGGCACTGCCCAAGGGCCCGGGGTCAGTAGGGGGCCCCATGAGATGCCCCTGGTACCTTTTTTTCATAGGCTTTTTTGAGTTTGGGCAAGGACACAGGGGCCTCATGATCCCCTATTGCCCGGGGGCCCCCATGAGTTGTCACTCCTCCCCTGTTTGTGATCCATCAGTAGTCTCCGCTTATCAGACGGGTGTCCTTGTGCTCTTTTCTGTTACTTAGGCCGGCCATACACGGGGTCGATTTTCGAACGCTTTTTCGTTCAAAAAATCAGACCTAAGAATAATCGGCCGATTTTCGCTCAGTTAGTGGGGCAATGGCACCGGCAGATTTTCCTGGTTCCTCCCCATTTGCATTGGAAAATTCATGAAAACGACCGATTTTCGAAATCATTGCTGGCACCATCGGATTACAGAACGAACGATCGTTCAGAGTTCGACCCGTGTATGGCCTGCTTTACTGCTACAAGTATTAGTGACCCCACATTTCCAGGAAGGGAAGAAACTAGTTCATGATCCAGTCGAACTGGTTAAATTGCTTCAAACATCTGAAGAAAAGCATTTTTCCCGAATTGTTCATAATTGCACGGCCAGCTGGTAAAATCCCTATTTTATCTGTGCCCCGAGGAAGTGAGACTCCTTTTGTGAGCCTGAGATAATTTACATTTTATGTATAGTTGGCCCCTAGTGCTGCCATAACACCCCAATACCTGAAACACGTGACTGTCAGAGCTGGTGTGTATGAAACACCCAAGGATTACATAGAGGGGGGCATTGTCTCTCACATATCACATTAGGCAGTTGCACATTCTCCAATGTTGAATTGAATCTCAGTTGGTGTAAATGAATTGATGGAACATTAATATGAAGGTGGTTAGGACTGCTTAGAAAGTTATTTCAGCACTTTACAATACAATTCAGTACAGAAGGAATAGGAGGGATTTTCAATTCGTGGAGCTTACAATCTAAAGAAGGGGGAGGGGATATAAATGGTGATAGCTACGGTGGATGATCTGGTGGAGGTGATTCAAGTTCAGTTCTTAGGTGGAGGTGGGGTAGGCTTCCCTAAATAAGTGAGTTTTCAAAGATCGCCTAAAGGCAGCCAGGGTGGGGGGTTGACTGGACATACTGTGGTAGGGAGTTCCAGAGGATGGGGGAGGCTCTGGAAAAGTCCTGGAGGCGAGCGTGGGAGGAGGTGATGAGGGAGCTAGAGAGAAAGAGGTCTTGGGAGGAGCGGAGCGGGGATGATCTGCAGATATCTCTAATTAGCTGTGTAATAAATGATTGGGCTGTACCAGTGGCATAATTTGATAGATTTGGGGGCCCTGTTTAGGATATTAAGCAGGGCCCCTGAACTTTACTTCATCTCCACATCTTACATAGCCTATGCAGCACAGTGGCCCACAGTTCCTCTCCACATCTTACATAGTCCTATGCAGCAGTGGCTCACAGTTCCTCTCCACATCTTACATAGCCTATGCAGCACAGTGGCCCACAGTTCCTCTCCACATCTTACATAGCCTATGCAGCACAGTGGCCCACAGTTCCTCTCCACATCTTCTAGCCTATGCAGCACAGTGGCTCACAGTTCCTCTCCACATCTTACATAGCCTATGCAGCACAGTGACCCACAGTTCCTCTCCACATTTACAGAGCCTATGCAGCACAGTGGCCCACAGTTCCTCTCCACATCTTACATAGCATATGCAGCACAGTGGCTCCCTGAACTCAAGTTCCTCTCCACATCTTACATAGCATATGCAGCACAGTGGCCCACAGTTCCTCTCCACATCTTACATAGCATATGCAGCACAGTGGCTCACAGTTCCTCTCCACATCTTACATAGCATATGCAGCACAGTGGCCCACAGTTCCTCTCCACATCTTACATAGCATATGCAGCACAGTGGCTCACAGTTCCTCTCCACATCTTACATAGCATATGCAGCACAGTGGCCCACAGTTCCTCTCCACATCTTACATAGCATATGCAGCACAGTGGCTCACAGTTCCTCTCCACATCTTACATAGCATATGCAGCACAGTGGCCCACAGTTCCTCTCCACATCTTACATAGCCTATGCAGCACAGTGGCCCACAGTTCCTCTCCACATCTTACATAGCATATGCAGCACAGTGGCCCACAGTTCCTCTCCACTTCTTACATAGCCTATGCAGCACGAAACGCGTAGGGAGGGCTTGCGGTGGCGTCACGTCCGCTTATTGGAACGCAAGTGGAACACAAACCAGCATTCCTGGTTTCAGTTTGCATGTAGTGGTTAAATGCTTAGCACTTCCGCCTGGCAGCACTGGGGTTGTTGTTTCGAATCCCAACCATGGCACCACCTGCCTGGAGTTTTCATGTTCTCCCTGTGCCTGCATGGGTTTCCTCCGGGTAGTCCGGTTTCCTCCCACACTACAAAGACATGCTGGGAGGTGAATTGGCTGCTGTCTAAATTGGCAGTACTATGGTTGTTGTGTTGAATCCCAACCACGGCACCACCTGCCTGGAGTTTGCATGTTCTCCTGTGCCTGCGTGGGTTTCCTCCGGGTACTCAGGTTTCCTTCCACACTCCAAAGACATGCTGGTAGGTTAATTGGCTCCTGTCTAAATAGGCAGTACTAGGGTTGTTGTGTCGAATCCCAACCACGGCACCACCTGCCTGGAGTTTGCATGGTCTCCCTGTGCCTGTCTGGGTTTTCTCCTGGTACTCCAGTTTCCTCCCTCACTACAAAGACATGCTGGTAGGTGAATTGGCCCCTGTCTAGATTGTCCCTAGTATGTGTATGTATGAATGTGAATTAAGGACCTTAGATTGTACGCTCCTCGGGGGCGGGGACTGATGGGAATGTACAATATATATGTAAAGCGCGGCGTACATTGACAGCGCTATATAAGTACCTGAAATAAATAAATATCCCCTGCTTCCAGGAGAAGAGATGGAGACTCGCACTTTCTTGGGGTGATATTGATGGAGAAAATATTTAATTATGGCTAGAGAAGGCCCCATGGGCTCCCCAGAAGCAGGGGCCCGGTGACGACCACAAACTTTGTCACCCCTGTTCCTGTCCCACTTAGCGGTCCTGGATCCAGCACTGTATCACCTCCACATAATCCGGATATAAATCAGGGACCACATTGTTACTGCCAGGATGGAGACTATTATTTCATTCCAGATTCTGTGATACGATGTATAACATAATAATGATTCTGCCCCAGGGGGGTCATACTGCTTCTCCACCTAGCTGAGTACTCCACCATTAACCAGGTGACAGGGAGGTGCTGTACCTGAAGGAAAGGCAGCAGCGGGAGAGTGAGAAGGAGTGAGCAATGCGAGGCCAAGAGAGAGGAAGAATGAGGGCAATGCTGTGCCAATAAGGAGGAGCGAGGGCAATGCTGTGCCAATAAGGAGGAGTGAGGGCAATGCTGTGCCAATAAGGAGGAGTGAGGGCAATGCTGTGCCAATAAGGAGGAGTGAGGGCAATGCTGTGCCAATAAGGAGGAGGTGTAAGGGCAATACTAAAGGAGTGAGGGCCAAAAGGAGGGGAGTGAGGGCAACGCTGTGCCAATGAGGAGGAGTGAGGGCAATGCTGTGCCAATAAGGAGGAGGTGTAAGGGCAATACTAAACCAAAAGGAGGGGAGTGAGGGCAACGCTGTGCCAATGAGGAGGAGTGAGGGCAATGCTGTGCCTCTAAAGAGGAGGAGGAGAAGTGAGGGCAGCAGTGGGACAGCAAGAAGGAGTGAGGGCAATGCTGTGCCAATAAGGAGGAGTGAGGGCAATGCTGTGCCAATAAGGAGGAGTGAGGGCAATGCTGTGCCAATGAGGAGGAGTGAGGGCAATGCTGTGCCAATGAGGAGGAGTGAGGGCAATGCTGTGCCAATAAGGAGGAGGTGTAAGGGCAATACTAAACCAAAAGGAGGGGAGTGAGGGCAACGCTGTGCCAATGAGGAGGAGTGAGGGCAATGCTGTGCCAATAAGGAGGAGTGAGGGCAATGCTGTGCCAATAAGGAGGAGTGAGGGCAATGCTGTGCCAATAAGAAGGAGTGAGGGCAATGCTGTGCCACTAAGGAGGAGGAGGAGAAGTTAGGGCAGCCATGTGACAGCAAGAAGGAGTGAGGGCAATGCTGTGCCAATAAGGAAGAGTAATGGTAATGCTGTGCCAATAAAGAGGAGAAGGAGAAGTGAGGGCAGCAGTGGGACAGCAAGAAGGAGTGAGGGCAATGCTGTGCCAATGAGGAGGAGTAATGGCAATGCTGTGCCAATGAGGAGGAGTGAGGGCAATGCTGTGCCAATAAGGAGGAGGTGAAGGGCAATACTAGACCAAAAGGAGGGGAGTGAGGGCAATGCTGCACCTATAAGGAAGAGTGAGGGCAATGCTGTGCCAATAGGGAGGAGGAGTGAGGGAAATACTAGACCAATAAGGAGGGCGATTGAGGACAATGCTGTGCCAATAGGGGGGATAAGTGAGGGAAATACTAGACCAATAAGGGAGGAGGAATGAGGGTGATGCCCTCACTCCTCCACTTTATTGGCACAGCAATACTAGACCAATAAGGAGGAGGAATGAGGGTGATGCTGTGTCAATAAGGATGAGAAGTGAGGGCAATGCTGTGCCAATAAGGAGGAGGAGTAAAGGCAATTCTTTACAAGTGAGGAGGAGGAGTAGGGTCAATGATGTGCCACTAAAGGTGGAGGAGTGAGGGCAATGCTATTCCAATAAGAAGGCAGAATGAGGGCAATGCTGTGCCAATAACGAGGAGCAGGAGCGAGGGTAGCAGTGAAACTGTGAGAAGAAGAAGTAAGGGCAG